GTTTAGCCTCAAAAGGTCCACAGCGAAAGCTTTTGCGAAATGTGACAGGAGATAATGTCTTATGTAAGGATTGGTACCTCTCTGCCGTTATGGTTGATTGCTTGGCTGGGGATGCTAGACGTCGAAGACAGCGAAAAATAGGATGTTTCAAGGCTGAGTGCTGTAAGGTTTGCATTGTTTCGTTCCCTCTGATGTTGATAATCGTGTTAGTGACTTTTAAGCATACCCCTATTAGAGGGATATAATTTTATGCCAGCTAAGTCATTCGACTCTCACTGATGTTTTGTTAATGTTTTTTGTTAATGGCCTAGGCCATTGGCCTAGACTATGGCCTACCCCACGTTTTGTCCACACCCCTTCTAAATGCCTTCCTTGGCTTTACCTTGAAGAGAGCAGCATCACAGTTCTTTCATCCGGTCGAGAGAGTATTTGCTACTTGATACTCAGATGTGGTGATCTGCACATTGTGTTTATGTAGATTTCCTCGTGTTTTTTTTTTTTTTTTTTTTTGGTTCAAAAGGTTGTAGCGTTGAGTAGATGATTACAGTCGAACCTCTACTAAGCGGCCACCTATTAAGCGGTCACCCCTTATTAAGCGGCCAGTCATCAAAGTCCAGAAATATTTGTCAGTAAAGTACTATAAATAAAGACTACATTAACCGTCCACCACTATTAAGCGGCTGCGGCCACCTTTTGTCACGGTCGTCTCGAAGAGGGAGTCCTCTATGGTCCTTACCCCTTTTAAGCGGCCACCCAAAATGTAATACACGTAGTTTGGCTTTCTTTCGGAAAAGACGATGACAGATAAGGGGTCGAAATCACGTTTGTTTTGATTGTCTTGACTTGATTCTATGGTGACTAAGCATGAATCGGAACCAGATCTAAAAACAAATATTCAAAAAAACGAACCCCTATTATATGCGGCCAGCCCCTATGAAACTACCGCCTCCCATTTCCCCGAGGCCGAGGGTGTCCGCTTAATGTTCGACTGTAGCGTTGTGGGAGCTCCGCGCTTAAGCTTGGCTGAATCTATATATTACCTGTTTATCAAAGGTAGCTGCCAGCCCCCCGTGATCGGAAACGATAAGGGATTTCTTCATCAGCACCGTGGCCTACAGCAAAAGAAACAAGTAGTGTGTGTTTTTAGAAGCTCTTCAAAAAGAATTGATACAATAGCGCACGACTCGTGACGGCCTCATGGCAGCCCGGTCAAAGAACGATAAGTCCGTAGTCACGGGCTTACGGTGATCTATGGTCGTGGGCTGGGCTGGGCTGGAGTATTACCAAAAAAATACAATCCTGCACAAAAGAAACTGATGAAACGATTTCGTGCAAAGCGGGCCATAAGAATAAAAGATATGGAACCAATGAAAAAAAAAAAAATTTTTTTTTTCCCAACCAGAAATAATGGTACGAAAACTTCTTTCCCACCCCACCAAGCCTCTGTCATAACTGAGAAAGGCATCAGAAGGTGGCATGATTTCCGACGTCACACCACCTTCCATCCACCCCATCCCCCTGAGTGTAACTGTGCAAGTCTCTTTCAAACCGCTAAAACACTCCCCTTCTACCCCTCCCCTAACATATTCTGATGTATTGTGCTTGCAGGTTCCACAATGGAGGTTGGATACTTGGAGGCTTTCAGCAAAATATGGAACCATTGTTGGATTGAATGGCACGAAAGAGGTCCAACAAAAACATTTCTGACGGATTTCATTCTCGAGATTTCCAACTACGGCTTCATATCGGCTAAAGACATTCTCATTTGTCTTCTCCTCGGTGTCGCTTTCACCATATTGCGGTATTTTTTGACCGAGGCGCTTTTCAAGGTAGGAATTGTACGTAGATTTTTTTAGTTTTCCTCCGGGATCGCTCCTTTGGAAGTTCATTTCACTGAGGGTCAACGTAGCTATGGTAAAGCTTTAGATAGTTTTAATTACGAAACTTGTAGGAGGAGGTTTATTCCCAGTATTATTGGCAAGATTATTGAATGTTTAGTTAATCTTATATACGCTTGAGGTCAGTACGGTTAAAATATGAATCGTTTGGCTTCCAGAACACTCATATTAAACTGACACCTTCTAAAGCAGCCTTTTAACTGTTGAAAAACTTTGTTTACAGGATCAAATACTGTTGTTTCGATCGCTGAAACCGTGGGTAAGCTTAGGTTTAACATGAACCCCCAATTGTTCTGTGGTCTTGGTTGATTCGGTTCACGCAAAACAGTAAGCTCACTAAATAAATGTATAGCCTGTGCATTTATTCCTGGTTGTATCTTTTAAAGATTTATTTCTTTTTGAGTAAAACTATGCTAATATTAAACGACACACTTAAAGAGACTCTGTCAACATTAAAATTTTGTTGTTGTTTGTCAAGAAGTTTCGATCGAATACACAACATCTTCTCTGGCGCAGATGTTTAGGTATAAGCTTAGGAATAAATTCTTTCAGGTTCAAAATTACCTTGACGGGCACTTTTAACGAGTTGGCGGGATGATAATTTTCTAACACCTTTAGTCAATTAGCCCTTTACAAAAAGATGGTTTTCAAGAAGGTTTAGCAAGCTTAAAACCCGGACATACATGTAAGAGTTAATTATTAACACCCTTTTGTTAAAGTGAAAATTAAATTAAACTACTTTTTGCCAAAAACAGATTCCATATTAAAGAAAAAAAAAACGTGATGGACTTGCTTATATATGCATTACACTTATAATGCAGTTTGTGTCAATTATACAGGTTTCAAAAGGTTGGGGGCAAACGTGCATAATAAATTTCTGTTGTTCAGATAATCTGTTCCTTGAAACTTAGGGAAGTAATCAAATATAATTTTTCCTTTTTACATTTTTCTGTTGCATTAGCTGACATCTCTTTGCTATCTTTGAAATGAAATTTTGCAGAATGGATCCCAGTCTGTCAAAATCCTTTTAGCAAAGGCCTGATTTTCACTCGCAGTGGACTTGGTCTACTCACGTACAAAACAAAAAAACAGTGTGATCAGCAGAACGTGACCTGGGCTTGGCCCTAGGCTGTCCCAGTTAAAAATGTGTTAAAAAATATATGAAATATGCATTCAACATGGTCAAAATACACAGTCATCATAATGAAAACCCTTGGGCATTAAACACATCATCTTTTCAAGCTGCCCAAAATGCTACTTCTCAAACATAATATTTACTAAACAAATGAATTTTCACGACAAACCAACTCCCCCTCTGGCATACCCTGGGACTAGTTGATTGTACAGTATGTTTCAATTGCATGGGAAGGGGGCAAGAAACTTGATGTGGAAAGTCTTCCTGGTGACAAGGGAGAATTTGAGTGAGATGGGGAAATAACTGGAAGCAGGGTGTGAAATCTTACTTTTAAGGGAGAGGGGGGTGGGAGAGAATGTGGCAGGTAGGGTACATACTTTTTTCTACATTGTGAGATACATGTACAGTGAATGTGATTGTTCAGCTTTGCTAGTTATGTTGTAAATGAAGATGTAGCCTTTTCTCATGAGTGGCAAAACATAATTTAGCCTGATCAGATCAGGCGGATTTCAGGATGGCCACTGAATGCTCCTTGCGGTCTTATATGGGGTATTTGCTGGGCTTTTATCTGTCATTTACATTTCAGCTGAGTGAAGACATACACTTGCTTCTTGGAAGCTTTGATACTGCTTGAGAATTATATAGCTTGCATGTGAATTTTGTAACAGCTGGTCACTTGTTCTTTCAATTGTTTGTTACATGGTATGAGAAAATATCAAAGGTGTGTCTTTATAAGTAGGTAGGTAGGTAGTTTGCCTTTATTTGTACATGATATGTATGAAAGCTGGAAGCTTGTGGGATCATGTACATGTACAATACGTTACTTCTAGACGAGTTCAGTGTTAATGCCCCTTGTTAATTTGAAAACCAGCACGTAGGTGATATAAATTTTACAACTTGTGGTTGTATTTTCAGCCTTTTTTCAGTTGGTGTCAACTCCTTGAGAAAGATCAGAAGAAGTGTCCAGAAAGTGCCTTCAAGTTTTTGTTTTACTCTTCAGCATATGGCTACTGTTCCTACATTCTATTTAATGGTAAATATAACTTTTTCCAAGACACAAGTAACTGCTGGAAAGGTTAGTACATGTGTATATTCTTTTTGATGTAAAACATCAGTGACATACTGGGCTTTCGCCTCCTGTGCCACTTTTTTTTGTTCTTACCACATTTTGATGTCATCTGCAAGATCTATTACTTACATGTATAGAACAGATGCAAGGCAACATAATTGAATCTGTAGTTTGTATAGTGTGATCGTCCGGGTGAGGGTAGTTCTGAAAAGAGCTGTTGTTGGTGACTGACATTTCAACAACTTGAGCGGAAGTCATCTTCAGAGTCAATAGTGTTTGTCAGTCAATAATGTTGTAAGTCTGGTCCGTTGAATGTGATTGGTCAGTTTAGCCATGATGGTATTGGCTGAAAGACTTGTGTAAAGTTTGTCATCAGTCACTGGTCGGTTTCGACCCATTTATTGTTAGTCAAATTGGTCGATTTTTGGTCCCTGTATTGCTAGTCAAGTTAAGTCAGTCTGTTAGAAGTCTTTTTGTCGGTTTCATTTCTGTCATGGATAAGTCATTTGTGAGGTGCCAGTAGTTGTTGACATTAATTAAGAGGTGTTTGTTCTAGGTTAGTGTACCAGCTCTCCAGAGTCAGTCGCTGAAAATAGTTTTTACTGTAGGTTAAGCACTGAGCAGAGTCCCAGTCAGTGTTGTGGTTTGTCAGTTGATGATGTACAGCAATGTGAATCAGCTGGTAATCAATAAATACGTGCTCATTTCTGTGATAGAGCCATGACATATCCTTGTACTGCCAGCTACTCTCCTCAAAAACAATTGGAGAGAGGCATCTTTGTGTTACAGATGATAATCCTGCTTCTTGCATAAATTATCCATCATCATTTCAGTGTGACAATATTTGACATGACATGTGGAGACAACAAAGCAAAATTCTGCTCTCTGCCTGTGATCTTTGCATGAGACAGCTGTTGGTGATCTTTATAGTTTGCTATGTTCTCAGAAAAAAATTTTAAACTTCAAAACTCTCTCACGAAATGTATTAATTGTACAAATTTCCATCGTTGTCTCGACAGCTGACTTTTGAGAAAAATCAGATGAACTTGAACATGATTATCAATGTTAAGACAGATGCCCTTCCTCAATCTTTCTAGAGGAGTGTGGGCGGCTTTACTCAGGCTTAAGACCTGGTGGAGCCTCTATTTTCATTTGCCAGTTGTAAAATATTACTTTCAGCAGTCTATTGTTTGAGGCTAGGGAGTTACATGCCTTTTGGTGTATGCTTAATATGACTAAGGTCTGACTGTTTATCTGCAGGATGGTACAAAGGAATGCCTGTTCCTCAAGACATTTACATGCTGTATGTGGTAGAAGCAGGGTTTTATTTTCATTCAATATATGCCACACTCTTTATGGACCAATGGCGACGGGATTCCATCCTTATGATTATGCATCACATATTAACTAATTTACTTATTTTCTTCTCTTTGGCTATCAGGTGAGATTGCTAGAAATAATTCATGTACATGGTGCTGGGTTATTACATGTATCTACATAATTTTGCCATGGGATGAAAAGCATGCAAAAAAAGTCATGCCTGACAGCTCGGCGTGAGTATAAATTATCCAGCCTTGTCTCATAAATTACATGTAAAGCTAACAATTATGTAAATTAGCTAACATGTAAACTGACAAATTCCGCAGATGCCGACTTAATGTGGCTCAGGGGAAGGGGGGATGATTACCCAGTTTAAGAAATTTGGCTGAGCGAGACTAAGTATTGAATTTGTGAAATACAAACGTGGCCTATTTCCGTGAGTGGGAGGTGTTTATAAAGTTTTGTAGACATTTTGCATTTTTCACGTGCAAACATCTTTAAAAGGAAAAGTTCCACTTTCCCTACATCTAAATGTTGGACATTTTGAGGCATTAGGGATAAAGATTCCAGTGTAAACCTTTTAGCAAGAACTTTACTACATGTTCAAATAAATGTTGTTGTTTCAGTGTGAGCCAGATTTCAGTCATCATCGTGTTTTAATATTTCATTCAAGCATTTTTTGCTGTTGTGGTGACATATCAATGGGATAAACTGAAGTATTAATAAAATCTGTATTTCCAGACGCCATGATGGTAAGGGTTTCTTTTTCTGAACAGCTTTGTGACCCTTTTGTTTGCACTTAACTGATATAGCAAGATTTATAGTGGGTCCAGTGATGTGGGTAGGGCACTTTTCTGTTACATTACTACAAGAGGTCTGTTTCAGTTTCAGGCAAAGTGTCTGGCATTATTTATCAAAGTGAACACTGGATAGGTCCCCTGGCAGAATTGTTAGTTGTAGTTTGCAAACAGATCTTAACAAAAAATACAGTCAACTGATCAGAATATTTTCAACATATTCCAGGAGAAGTCCCATGGTGTTAAACACAATAGCCATCTTCATGGTTAGCTTTTCTCATTTTTCAGCACAATGTAATAGAACATGAATGCAGGCAATTTCAGGCAGAAACTACAAAATTGTCTCACATACATGTGGGATTACTTTGTAATGCAAGTGAGAAATGTTGACCGTGAAAAAGGCTATTGTCCTGGGCAGGTTACTTGCCCTATCGGTGACTTTTACTGTCCCATATGATACAGTCATCTCAAGAGACATCAATGTCGACCAACATTTTGATGTACATGTAGCAAACTGAGTAGCAGGCTTATTTATAGTGCTGTCATCCCTTATGATAAATAATTATAAATAATTTTGATTCCATAAGTTAGACTGCTCAACATTTAAAGTGTACTCTGACAATGAGACTTGACTCTTCATTTCAGGTACCATAGGATTGGTGTTCTGGTGCTTTTCCTTCATGACATCAATGATATTTTTCTGGAGTTCAGTAAACTCTGCCTTGGTTTCAAATCACGTGGTGGAAAATATCATGTCATACCAGACATCCTCAGTGTTGCAGGAGTTTTGTCTTTTGCATCACTATGGTGAGCCTTGTAGTGACATTAAGTGTATATCCTAATTACTGTTTAGCCCATGATTAAGCTCTGAGAAATTTAATCCAAAGACTTAAAGTAATATATCAAACATGAAAGACCGTATTTGACCACATTTCCAAAACACCGAGAAGAGAGTGGAAAGTAAAACACACATACAGCAGAGTATTTTTGACAAACTTCAAGGTGTTTGGAAATGTAATCAAGTTTGATATACATGTATCTTCTCAGTTGAAACCTAAACTTAAGGAGAAAAGGGAGAAATGAAATCATAAAAATTTTTGCTAATTAAGATCAGATATTCAAAACACTGTCACAGTCATGACTTCCTTTGTGTAAACTTGATGAATTTTTAATGAGTTTTGGAAGTACGGTGTATACTACACCCTGTATACAGTAAAGTTAACACAGAGTAGTTTCTGTGGAAATGTAATTGTTTGAAGACAAGTTGTAGTGGTGGGACGATTTCACTCCATCACTCCTTCACTCCTTCACTTCCTGTTAGACATTTGGAANACTCTCATATGAAAAGGTCAGGGATGCTCATCAGAAAATATGAATTTAACTTCTAAAGAAGACTAATGTGGGCATTATTCAAGCTTCATAAATTAGATCCTAAAAGACCACTTATAACGAAAAAGGTTCGATTACTAGCCACTGTTTGAGAAAGGATCCCACACGCTTGTAGACCCAACTTGCGTACTCGCGAGATCAACAGAAAACAAATGAGAGCATTTGTTTTATATTTATATTTATTTATTTGAATGCACCCTAAAGGATACTTTGACAACTAAGAACGATGACGTTTCTTCATCAACACCCTAAGTGAGACCAGAATCCTTGATTTGTACCTGAGACGACGAGAATCCCCAACCTCTTCATAGAGGAGCAACCCCCCCCCCCCCCCCCATTTTTTTTCCTCTCAAAAGGTAACAAAGTATGAAGAAAAAATCACTGATATCGCCTGGGAAAAAAGGAAAATGAAAAAAATAGGAATGAAAAGAGAATCAGAATTTTCAATGGTGTGGCTCATAGCCACTTTAATTTTTATTTCAGTCTTATCGTTGATCTAACTAGTAAATCTTATCTTTTTACATCTTGCCTTTTACAGTGCATCTAATCCTACAGATTGTGTTTCAGGTTGTATTGCCGTCTGTACCTCTACCCTATTAAAGTACTCCACTCCACTGGCTGTGATGGTCGGCCATACGCTCCTACAGCTCCATTCTACTTCTTCTTCAATGCCATGCTTTGGATGTTGTTTTTCATGAACCTATGGTGGTTTCAGTTCATTGTGTGGCTCATAATCCGTATAATGGTTGGGAAAAGCCGTGGTGTAGAAGATACCAGGGAGATTCCAAAAGAGTCGGGAAAGAATGGAGCACCTGGAAAAGCTATGAATGGAAACATTGGAAAAAATGGAGAACTGTCTGTTAGCAATGGTGCAAATCATGGTAAGGCTGGGATTCAGTAGTTGCCTGTTTGAAATATCTCACTCCTATAGTTGGGGTATACACCTGCATGTAAACCGCATGTGTGTCTACCTTAATTTGTAGCTCTTGATGGGGTTATAATGTCAAATAATGTCTTGAGCATTTAATGGCATTTTGAGTGAGAGGTTAATTATATACAGTCAAACCTCTATTAAGTGGCCAGTTATCAAAGCCAGAAAATTGTTGTCAGTAAAGTACTGTAAGTAAAACCCCTATTACACCAGCCACCATTATAAAGCAGCCACAGCCACCTTTTGGTCGTCCCAATGAGGGTTTTTCTATTGTCTTTATCGCTATTAAATGGCCACCCAAAATTTAAAAACTTTGTTTTGGAAAAGGTGATGGCAGATAAGAGTCCGAAATAGGAGGTGAGGAGTGATAAAAAAGTTCAAGCATACATTTATCATGATTGTCTTGAAGTGACACCATGTTCACGAAGAAATTAACCTGATGGTGAAAAATATTCAAGGTACACCAACGTTTATTGAGCAGCCAACCCCCATTAAGCAGCCACCTCCCATTTCCCCGAGAGTGACCGCTTAATAGGGGCTCAACTTGTTCATAGAAGGAATGCACTTGTAGCAAATACAAAACTCCCAGAAAGAAATTTGCCATTTATGCATTACAGGTATAGTATGATGAACTTCATACTTCAACCATGAATAAGTGACACAATGAATCACAATCTTGAGGATGTAGTGCTTTCAGTACAATTTGAAGCAGGTCTGTCATTAAGTCTTGAGTCACCTCCATCCTTGATCTTCTCACTTGTAACAAACTTGTTACTTTGTGGGTGAGTTGTATCAACAAAAGGCAATTTCACCCTTAACATCAAAGGCCTATCAAGCGAAGTCAGAGCCCTCTGTGATAGGTGTTAGAGGAGTGCTCTTAATGACGGCCATTTAAAGTACAGTGCAGGTGCTGTAGACTGTGATCCTGATGCAGCACCCATCAGAGAGCAACAAGAGAGGCCCATGATCTAACTTTCTTGAGAGGGTTAAGTTTTGAAAACTGCCAAAAATGATAGCTGGCAATTCACAACAGAATACCAGCCTGAGTTCTGGCAGGTGCTGGGTCTTGTTGAAAGCACTGAGAATGATATGTAATTTATATGATATGGAATGTGCCAGTCGTGGATTGAATTCAGACACTGGATGGTTTATGTAGTTTATGTACATGTAGTGAAAGTGTCACCTGAAGTTGCACCGCATTGAACTACAAGAGCAGCATACTCTTTGGAATACCACAAAATTCCCAAGTTAGATGTTGATTGAACATTTAGTTGCACAGAACATGTATTCAGGATTTGTTGAACTCCTTTAATAGGTAGTATAGTGTACAGTCTTCGACTACATGTAGTTACTGGACAGGTGCTGTCCATAGCTTTGATGTATTATATATATTTGTCTGTTTCCTTTTTGCAGTCATACAAAGCAGTAACAGTGCAGAGGACAGCAAGAAAAGAGAAGAAAATGGTGAACATCATTTCAAGAAGGATAGCAAGGAACAATTCCGCCATAGACAGCCACTTACCAAACCAGCCAACCCGTAATCAGTNAGTGCCCGTAGGGCTTCATTCTGGGCGAGTTTGAAGAAATTCGATTTTTTCGCTATTTCCAAGTCTAGTTGATATTTAGGCGAAGCTGCTCTTAATTACCTCCAATTTCATTGGAGAAATCAAAACTCAAATCAAAACTCTGGCAAACATTTGGCAATTTGCTTCCGTCAATCATGCGTTCCTTATATGGTGTTATAGAAATGCCTCTCTTGTTTTCAAAAATATGGCATCCACTGGTTTCTTATTCTTCTTCAAGTTTATGTTGGCAAGTGGTGTATTTGCTCGTGTAGGGGTTTAATACCGTGAGCGTTATATAGCAAGACTTCTACAGAAATACTTCTGCAATTGATTACGCGGCCTAGATGGGAAAAGCAAGACAAATGGATGGTTGGCGAGAAACGAACTGCATGGTAGAAATATATCATTTATAAATATACTAGACATTTATTAGTCTCTTATCTATTTAACTCTTTATCTGAAATGTCTGAAATGTGTTTTTTTTTTCCCATCAGTTTAACTCTGGGCTTCATGCAAATCAAGATGTACACAATCAAAGCAACATGTACTCTGTATGTCGCATCAAACAGTAGAAAAGGATTGAAGGCGTGAAGACTCTTTCATTAATTATGCAAATGGTAACAAGTCATTAATAATACTTCTGTCAGTTATGATTTCTTTGAGCTACAATCTACGATTTAGTTTAATTTACATTTTGAAACTCTGAATAAGTGACAGGTGTTAAAGTAGAATATATATGATGAATGACCTATTGTAACTTACACTCAGTATAGATATAATTATATATTTTTTTGACTGATGCATTATAGAATAACAGTCAGACATAATGAAGCTGTCAACTTGCATTTACCGTCAATTATTATATTACTAACAGTTGTATTATATGAAAAAAACTATTTTTGGGAAAAATATTTAATTGTGCCCAGTAGTGGAAGGTAGTGATAATGCACATCATTAATTCAGAACTAAGTCAATCAACGTAAAGCACTGTGCAAAATTGTAACTTTCTGTTCATCTTTCATACTAAGTCCAATAATTATTATTATGCCTAGCTTTTCTGCAATTGGAATGTAAAATGAGAACTTGTGTTTAACCATAATTTAGTGAGAGTTGCTGGTACCTACATGTACTGATAGCTGTAAAAGCTAGACACGTGCGACAAATGTCACCCAAGACAACTGGCTGGAAGAGGCCAAAAGATAAAAACCTCTCCAGTTGAAATAACTCCTGAGTACATTTTCGCTAAATTGTCAGCCCATGAACAGGCTCACATTTAGGGAGTTTACTCATGTTTAGGAGCACATTTTTTGGCCACCAGACTCCTCCCCTCCAGATGGTCTCGCTAGCCAACTTACTCTTCTGCATGTGACACAACCTTAAATTTGCATCTGCATGGTTTGGAAACTATTACAGTTGTCAGCACTTGGATGTCACTTTTTGTATTGGTTATTTTACTTGCTTGTTTTCCGTTTACGACTAATACTTTTTGTCATAAAGTAGCATTAAGTAGGCATAGATATGAATTGTACTGTACATAATGTAATTATGTGCTGAAGTAGTATTAAATTTAATTAAATTGTTAATAATTATTATCACTGGGTTAAACCAGGTGCAAAAACCTTTGGCTTATAAGTTACATTATTGTTAAAATTGATTGGTTTTTTTTCCATTTGTTTTGCCAAGGTATTGATTATACAGTCAATCATGTTATTTGACAAGGTTAATTACGAAGGCCATGTGAATCATAAATTACTATGCAATAATTCTGCATTGCATCTATCAGTGATTACCAGTATAATAAGAAATGATTTAATGGTATTTCCCATGATGAATATGAATGGAAAATCTTGCCAGGTCTAGGATTAACTACTGTAGGTACCAAGATTTGTTTTTGTTTCTTTGTTTGTTTGTTTGTTTTTTGTTTTTTGGTCTTGTTATTGTTTTTGCTTTTGTTTTTATACCTTGGGAGGACAGAAGTTTAGAATTAGGGAGAAAGAGATAGTGGTAATTCTCATAACTACCAGGGCAGCATCAGTGTGACATTGGTTTACATTTTAGTGTCACTGTCTGCCTATACATTTGAGTGTTAAAGAGTTATACAGTGATTGCTGCATAAGACAATTCTTCACTTGTCTTTCTTTTGTTCATAAGAAACCTGACAATAGCAGTTTCGTAGCGAAGAGGAATACAGGGAGATTAGTGATTACAAATCAAGGAAAACACTGGGGGAGATTAAAAAGGTTCACACATTCAAAGTTTGATTTTGTGATTTTATGATACTACAAATTTATGAATATGTATATTTAATTTGAATGGTTATAAATTGTCGAATTCAAGGGGCATATTTCCTGCTTAGGCGCAATCATAATAATTAAGAAATAACTGTGGAAGAGAAGGTCAAACATATGCATGTTTTTTTAGATAATGTAAGCTTGTTCATTGCAACTGGAAGTGATTTTTCTATCCAATCGCTGTATAAATTTCATTGTCCAGTGGGAAATATTTTATGATAATGATTCTATAATTATTATGTAGAAATGTAATCACATAGCGCACTACACAAATCCCTAGAAAACTGCACAGTAGAAAACTACAAATTCAGAATTGCATTGCATATGAAAGAGGGTAATTGGCAATAAATTCAAGTAAAACAAATTGTTTATTACTGCAAAATTAATTACAATTATGTCAATGCTATTGAAAGGATTCAAAAAAATAAGTCATCAGTTTACTTTAGACAGTATTTTTTTTTATTATTTTTGCCAATAGATAGGTTTGTTTAATAAATATTTACATACAGCTTCAAACGCGTCAAAGTTATCGTGCTGTGTGGCAAGTATTTTTACCATGAGACGGGTTTGTCCAGTGACTCATGACTGAAGACTAGGAAGTAGTATGTAAGGCGGACAGATGAGGGGTGATACAACAGGTTTATAATGGAGGTTAATACAAGACTCACAATTTTACATACTAGAATATAAGAACAGTAACGTTTCACTAATTTAGGTTTTGATATAATAATTGTAACAATGCAAAGGACGTATTTGTGTGCTGTTAGCTTAAGTGAATGATGATCACTGTTCATTGGGTATAAAAAAACACAAAGGGTTACAAGGGATCACAGAAATAGTCTGGGATTATAGAATTAATAGACAAGTAGCAGTCGGGTATTATAGAATTTAGAGACAAGTAGCAGTGCAGTGTGACCATGTTTTCGGTATATAATATGAAAGTGAATTAAAATACTTTTTGGTGATATATTGGTGTCTAAATTTCCTTCTGGTAGATTGCACGGACAGACGGAATGAGTGAATGACCGACCGACCGACCGACCGACCGATCGACCGACAGATAGACAGACAGACAGACAGACACACTGGTGTTGAAGCGATAGATATTATCGTCATTTCTTGTCTTATCTAGTTCAGAGGTTTTGCATTATTACGAGTGACAACAAAAAGAACATAAATAAAAAAAAAAAACCTTTATTTGCCCTCGGCGGTGTTTATAGCACAAAGGCTAGTGGGGCCGAGCAAACAACAAACTAATAATTCAAATTGAACATAATATTGTTAAGAATCCCAAATGGGCGGAGGCAAACCAGTTGTCCATTTACAAGCATGACCGAGGCTCTGGAAACCGGGACCGCCGGATTGCGAGTCCGACGCGTTGAGAATCATTAAATACACAATTTACGGCTTACCGGTTTCATCTAGTAAATCGAAAAAAAAAAAAATCAAAAAAACTATGCCCTTACTAATCTTGCCATATTCTTTGGTAGCAAGCGAAATTTGGAATAGAAGTTCTTATCAACAAAACCACGTTCAAAGGAGGGCTCTTATGAAAAAGAGAGACGTTTACTGGAAAGGGGCTGCTAAATCGAATCATTACGGACCTCCAGCCTGCTCATGTACATACCGTATATCGTGCCACACCCTAAAAAGATCTCTGCAAAATAGAACTATTCACCTCTGCGTTAGCAGAGATAAAGTAAAGACAATGCCCAATCTCTACCTTATCTTAAAATGTACGATATAGACACAGAAAATATTGTGAAAGAGAAGCCCACTAGTCAAAGGATAAAGCACTCCATTATCACAAAATATTGTTCAACCTACCTGCAACGGTCTTCTGTGAAAAAATTAACTGGCAATTGCAGGCAAGCCTCGGTTAAGGTAAAATGATATCTAACCGGTTGGGCATCGGCAAATAATTAACTGCTCACCGTTGACACGTCACGAAATTTTGCTGAACCAGTCATCCAATATGTGTTATCACTGGCATTCAGATGTCGTTTCATAATAAGTTTATTATGACCCTAAGCACTGTAAACTTCCGGTACCATCAATTCGTGTTTAAACTGCGACTACACAATATATCTGTAACGTTTTGCTAACTACACTGGAATGCGTTCTCTATGTATGATTCGTGTTAACTATAGATGTATTTTAGGCGTACTTGCAGGTACCTGATGAATCCCTAGGGGCTCGTAGGCTATTTAAGATTTTGTAAGTTATGCAAGAGCCACTTGAAGGCATCTCTTTCAACTTTGCTTTTTATTTTTTCGGTTTATTCACTGCTGTATTTACTATATGATGATGTACCGCTTGCTATATCCTGTATTAATAAACGAGATGCCCGCTGCTGATGCTGTGTTTGTTACAAAATATATTATAATCGTTTCAGGGAGATTAGAGTATTAAAAACGATTGTAAGAAGACGTGACTTGGTCTGTTGTCCCTAATTTGCTGCAAGGGCCTCCAGTGTAAAATTACCCCAAACGATTTGTATTCTTACCGTACCCAAATCCGGAATTAGCCTATCAGAAGCCGTGTAATATCACGTCACTTACGCTATCATGCTTACTTGGTCGAATATGGGTACGGTCAATACCGAATCGTACCTTTTTGGTACGCCTCCGCGCGGGGAGGCGGTGTATCAGGCTCATCTGGTCTCGCCATGGGTATTTTGGCTTGACTGCGTCTCCGGCGCCAAAATAAGAACCATGGCTCGACCAAATTTAACTGATATGCCGCTGACGCGTACCATAAAGGTACGATTAGGTATAATAACATATATGTTCACCATGAAGAGCTCAACCATTGTTTAACACTGTTTATTGAATAAACACAGTTTAACATCGCTCTGTGCATAAAAATTAAGACGCTTAACATTGCCCTGTGCATAAACGTTAAATAATGAGGTTTAACATTGCTCTGTGTGTAAATATTAGATACACACCGAGAAGAACAGTCCACGAGTGATTCAGGCTTAAGACCGAGACTGGACCCTCCGGGTTTTACTTGTAAACGGTGACAGAAAAAAGGTGCTTTTAATAAAACTGATTAATAACAAATATAACAAAATTTTATTACGCCATTCTCGTAGTGCCAATTGATTGATTTTCTCCTCCACAGATCTTAGTGGTTCGTCTCATCGTTTCAACAAATTTCTACATAGTTTGCAGCGTAATGTGAAACGATTTCATATGCAAACGATGGGCCGTATAAATAAAACTAAGACGCGTCAAAGCTAGCAGATAAAAAGTGGTAAGTTCCGAAAATGACAACCTTAGCAGCCTTCTTTCTTATCGAGGGCGCTTCTTTTATTTGATGTATATGGGCCGATTGACATAATAAAAACGTGAGAGTGAAAAACGAAACAAATGTTATGATTAGTTATTCACGGTCCTTTACAAGTTTACTTACAATAAGTTGACAGTATAAAAAGCTGCATGCAGTCCATCGGTGTTCCTCCCTTCCCCCGATCCTAGCCTCCAGTAATTGTTGCGCGCTCCTTTCGAAATGTACTAACCATTAAAGTTTTATCTCCACTCTTGGAGACCGTTATCGGCTTTCGGGACTTAATTTAATTTACAGTATTAATTTAAAATGTACTATGTCAAGAAAGGATAAAGGGTGGGAGTGTTAATCCCGTTGCACGGACATAGGAAGTTTAAGCAACGTCGACGGCGAGGACGACGCCAAGTTAAAACTGAATTTATATTTTACCAGCGAAATTCGCAATTGTCTAGATTTGTTCAGTACGCCAATGGCTCAAAAAACGTGCTCAGGACCAATATGAAATGACAGCGTTCAGTTCCAAATGGAAATACTCAGACCACGCAGGACTTGGTCATTTCACGTTGTTGTCTTGCAAGAGAACGGCAAAGAAATGTACGAAGATTTATAACGCACGTGTACAGCCATTGTTTTGCTCATTAAACCTTTTGTTTGGTGACGTTCTCGTTGGCGTCGTCGTCGTGGTTTGCTTAATTGGGCTGCGGTCCACGTGAGGAAAATCTGCGTCACAGGATTGGCTTCTTGTAGACCCCCCTCCGAATTTCTGAAGTTTTGAGTGAACTAAAAATAACTTGAGATGGATTACCTTAGGCCTGTATGGGGGATTAACTCTGATACTCTTCATCTTCTCTTGACACTCTGCATACTTGGCTTTCAAAGTTTAAGTTAACTTTTGGTTTGAAAGTGCATAGAATAGAGGTTTTGCGCGGCAGCCATGTTGCATGACAGGAACAATGAAAACGTTTTACATTAGAAAGAACGCTTTTTCCCATAGGAAAAAGAATCTATTGATCCTGCCATGCAACATGTCTGCTGTGCCAAACCTCCATACGTCATAAATAATAACAGAATATTATTTGAGTCATGAACTTGGCAGCGGCAGTTCATCGAAAAATACACGCATTTGCACAGCTCACGTTCTGCCGGCAATAATGATCGAGGAGCACTGGGGAAGGGATTGATCAAGAATGGTCCAGAATTACAAAATAGCTAGTGCAATTAAAAAAGCAAAAATTAATCAAAAATGCTAGTTTGATGGCTAATTACTGCTTAGCAACAAGATGATTAGGCTAAGAATCAACGCTGGACAGAGGAACACGGAGCAGCAGATTGCAGCATTTCTCGGGTTCGGCGGGTTTGGGGTCACATCTCCATTGGGGTTCTTCCCATCAAACCACATCACCATGCAGTTGTCGCTCTTTTCATACTTAAACGATTTTCCCCACATTTTATCGCACAGTCCGTTGCCATCAGTATAAATCTACAAACAAAAAGACAAAGAAATGTAACAATTATTTTACCTCATTATCCCATTCTCAGCCATTTTTAACCCTTTTGTATTTTGTTTGCCCTATAAGGAACAAAGACAGCTTTCTCTTAGCTGAGTGAAAAAAGAATCACTGATTCTTTACCTCAAACTTGCCTTTTCTTGTCTGACACGAGCTGTGTTTTTACAAGCGGTTTTTCAAGTCGCTAAGCAAGTGACTGCCGGAAATCTCGGGAAACAGTTAAAAGCTGATAGTCTAGTCTGCGAACGCAGACGTATTTTCGGCTCGCAGGCTATTGGTCTTCCAACTAGCTTAAATTTAAGCGAGTCGACAATAGTCGTTATGAAATTCCATCATCCCGCAACATCCCTGATAAGTTTTAAAGGACTGATGTTCAAAATCTAGGGAATTAAAACTTTACAAGATCCGCCCGGTACAACCTTAGTATCGCGCCGTCTGTAATTTCGTTACACATTCACCGTCATCCATCAAAGTGAATAAATGAACAAATTATGAAAAGGGTCAACAGAAACCTTTCTGAAGGTGGAGCCAAACGTTTCTTGCTCGGCCCTTCTTCAGAACTTATGCTCAAAATCACGCGTTCAAAACATGGGCACAGTGCCACATAGTATTTTAAAGTCTTCCTCTTGTTATCAAATGAAATGAACTACAGTCGAACCTGTATAAAACGGCCACCCTCGGGACTTGAGGAACTGACCGCTTAATACAGGTGGCCACTTAATATAGAATCACTAAAAATACTCAATACTTAATAGAGGTGGCCGCCTAATACAGGTAACAAATGCAGCGTTTGTATGGGCGAAAAATCGCTTCACAGAGGGTGGCCGCTTAATACAGGGCCGTTATATACAGGTTCGACTGTACTACTTGAAGTTACCTGGCTAAATTTGAGACACTCTGACGCTGCTGGACAGCTGTAGACATTAGACGTGTAATTAAAATCTTCAAGCCAGTTTTCAGCGCATGTGTAGTCATCTTTGCAGGCGTCAAACCAATTGTCACAGTACTCTGCACATATGGGAACCCCATCCAAAGCACCTTCTTTGACATGCCATTTGATAAGGTTGGGTTCACAACTCCAGAAGCATTCCTCGTTTTTTATGTACCTTTCGCAGGCCTTTACGAGAAAACAAACTTAATTAGTATGGGAATATAGTGATGAGTGAAATTAGGAAATAATTTCATTTGCTTACAATCGCGAGCTTTTGACTTGTTTATTGTATTGCGAAATTTCGCGCCAAACGTTGCCATGACAGTTGTGTAATTTCACATCTGTGAAATTATGAATTAACGTTGCAATTTCGCGCCAAAATTAAGGACTAATTTGTCATCCATGATATTATAACAATATTACAGTTCAACCCCATTAAACGGCCACCCTCGGGGAAATGGATAGTGGCCGCTTAAAATTGAAAAAAAAAAATAGAGGCAAAAACAATAGAAAAGCCCTCATCGGGACTTCGATTACTGGCCGCCTAATGAGGGTAGGTGTTTCATAGGTGGCCGCTTAAGGACGGTGCCTACAAAATACAAAGGTTTTTGCGCTGGATTAGGACCATGTAGGAAAAGTAGATATTTGTAAGGGTTATTGGAATCCACAAAGAAAAATGGGGGTAGCCACAGATTTTAGCGATAATTAACCCTGTATCTCAAAAGATGCTGACATCAGCGTTTTTCTGAAAAAGAAGGAAAGAATTCGCCTTTACATACAGAAAAGCAAACACATTTACCTAGATCTTAAGACTACAGGGTAAACGATAACAGAAAAATCATTCTTGTATGTTTTAAATAACATAATCGTTGCAACAAAGCTTTTATCGTCTCTGACAGCCTTCCTTTTGTTCAGCTAAAACACAGTCTAAATGGCTTTTCCTCCCAACTAGAAACTAATCATGTGTTGAATAGGCTTGCTAATTCCATTTCATACAATAAATGTAGGGGTAACCATGCGTTTTTTGAAGTTATTCATTTTTTTTTTTTTAAACTTTTACGGTGCCCGTTACATTTTTTCCTCTCACCTCCCCAATAAGTGAAACATTTGCGTATCTCGCACTAGTTTTGCGCGCGCAATACGCCATCTGCAGGTACATGTTTACAACTGGATTTCAGTATAATTTTAGACAGATAACAGCTAGTTTTTCAGCTGGAAGCCGTTAACAGTTAGTGGTTAGCGATACGTTGCTGTTGTGGTATTCCTCATTTTAGTACAGGTTCATTAAACTTGATTTGGTCACAGCAGCAAAATTTTGCCCGCGCCTGCTTGGCGGTTAAACCATGCCTTGTGTGGTGCGCAGAACGTGTGCGCACTTACAAAAGGAGCCGTCCTTAATAGGAGTTCGACTGTATTTCAAACGCTTCGCACGGTGTCTAGATACAGTGTAGGCAGTGCACATGCAAGAACATAGAGTGGTTTTCTAAAACAGTGTCGAAAAGTATTGGTTTCGCATCACTTCGCTACACGATTGGCTTAACATACTCGCGCCTGTTTATCATCCTATCAGAAGTAAAACCAAAGCCAATCGTGGTTCGCTCGAACACGTTTTCCCGCGCCTCGCGTCAGCTGCAGGTATTTACCTGGAGTTTTGATTGGTTCTGTGTCCTTTGTGATGTGCTCGCGTGATGAGTTTGCTTTTGGTTTTACGGTACTCATTTGGAAAACCACACTTTGGAAGGTGCCGGGGGAAGGTGGGTGCCGTGAAGCCTGCGAGCAGGCTCACCGTTGAAATCCTTTGAGTCACACGCACCAGTGGCGAAGAGCAAAGCGATCCGGCGGGAAGGAGTCTGGTGAAGAGGCGCCAAGAAAGTGAGCCTGCCCTTATCTATGTAAAATTTTCTTTTCTACTTCGCCTGAGCGAAGTGAAATATTAAACATTTGTAGAAAAGTGGGAAAGGCGAAAAAATTGTCAATCTATTATGTTTGATGAGGAGCTATAATGTTAGTATAGATCCCCACGAAGTCAATAATTAACCGCGCGTTCTCACAAAAAAAAAAAAACAAAAAAAGAAATGAAAGCATGATTGATCATCGCAGTTATACACAACTTAAGCATTTGTGAAATTACGCCTGAAAAAAATTCAGGCCTGAACGGGATTCAAAACCATGACCTCTGCGATACCGGTGCAGTGCTTTACCAACTGAACTATCAAGCCAACTGAGAGCTGGTCACGTTGTGAGTTCGTAAAATGTATATTTTTTTTTGGCTTATTTTTTCCGCGGTTTCCGGGATGGAAATGAAAAATTTGCAAAGATCAGAGCTTCGCCCCTCGATTTCGCGCTCGGGGCAACGCCCCGCGCGCTTGTGCTCCAAGGTGAGCCTGCTCGCAGGTTATGATCACTAAATATAATTTTCACGTTAAGTTGTTATTGTAAGATAGTTGTGTGCCGGTATGTAGATTCGTTGGTATGCAGGCTACATATTATGCTAAGAAGTGAATATTTAAGGAGTTTATCCGTTAGGAGTTGTCACTTGACTGTATCTCCACTTTTGATCACTTCATTCTAGAAATTTTGTTTTAGTTAAATGTCCGTGTTTTTGTTTAGTACATTTGTTGTATTAATAACTATCTTAGGGCCGTTTACGTTTGCTGTAATAAACTATGCTAAGGCTATTTATGTCTGATCAATAAACGAGATGCCTCTCCTATACGACTGATGTTTTCTTACTTGTAAGGGGTCTGTAAGTTAGAAATTATTTTGTTTTCGTTTCACTACAGATTGATTAGACGACATATCTTGTTTTCCAGTTATCACGCCTGATCGAGAGAATTAGAATATGAATAGAATTCCTTTTCGCGATTGAGCTATTCAAAGAAAGCAATTACTCTTCAATGATTACATTTGAATTGCAGATTCTTTGATGTTTCTCAGTTTTTGCCAGTAAATGACAAAAGAACTCCCGAACGAATTACATGTGGATGGAACACTTTGAATGGCGGATTTTCTAGGATTGTTTATGAACCCTTGTATGGTTTTTTTTATTTCGAAAGGGGCTTTACCGACGGATTAATGGCCAAGAGAATATTTATCACTAAATAAATACACTGGCAAATAAACACTGATTGTTTATGTCCGATCTGAAGTCGTTGAAAAATTGGTAAATTAGGCCAGGGTGGCAATCGGACTTCAAGTGATGTATTTTTACCAGCGCAGTTCCGCAATACGACCGAAAACCATCAAATTTGCTTTTATTTGGTAAACATTGATATTGGTTTATAGTATAGTGTAGCTTCACGGTCACGCGATTTGCACCCAGCCTCGGTTAAGGTTTTTCTCGTCCAGACCTAATTCGCATTGCATCACTCGGTCACGAGAGTTTAAGCTGAGATCACCAGGTCTGAAGGAAAATACGACCAACTGAAATTCACCACATTTTTATCAAAGCCTGGCATGCATATCTTACCTCCGACAAATTTGCACAGTGATTCCATGAAAAGTTGTACAAAACTTCCACATTGTTACGCTTGAGTTCGGCGGTGAATTCGGCGGTACAGCACGCATTTTCCTTCCAAGGTTGACATTCAACGTAATCTGCGCCTTCGGGAGAGGGTTTATCTTTATGGAGAGAACCCTTGATGCATTCTTTTACTTCGTTCTCTGCCAGGCAAAATTTCCCGATAACAACTGCAAGAAGCAGGAAAACTAGAGCTCCATGTGAACGCGCCATCCTGCAAAATGAGTAACAGTCAATGAACATGATGAAATCATTAAACCACGTTGCGAACCGAATCGAGGCTTCACCTCAGTACGAGGCCGAAAATAATTAAATTATTCTTACAAGGTCATGAGTATTGTATTACCGGATATATGGGCTGATTATGCTTGTCCAAACGAGGTAAAATATCAAGTTGATCGATTTTCATGCGAAGAACTGTTTTCATTCAGAAAAACGCAAAAGTTACATACGATTTTGTTCTCTAACTGCGTCAAAACAATTTTTTCTGGTCTTTTCTGTATAGCGAGCGATTTCTCTTTCAAACAACTTTTAGCCTTTTCATCTCATTTCAGGTAAGTCCACCGTCAGTTCATATAATATGGAGTGTCAAAGTCCAACTGACAGATTTTCTATTTATTATCAAAAATATAATTATATTATTGTGCTGTTTCTATCACGTATTGACACAGTATTGAAACCAGAGCTAAAATTGTTCGTAAAAGCCTGATTTGAGAGATTGAAAAATAGTTTGACTAAGCTTGATGAGGTCTCCTCTTTTTTCCCTGCAATTTGAACACAGATGGTTCGAAAGAAAGTGCCTCCATTGTGGATTGCAGCGTGCAGCTCTTGAATCCTGGTGATTAGCCACTGGAAGAAGAACTTCGATCACTTCAGATAAGTCTATCATGTTTTTTTTCCTTTTTGTTTTGTCGTTTACACCAACAGGTTTCATTCCAAGTGACCAAAATATTAAATCTCCTTACCATTTACACTGTCAATTAGCCAAATTTAATGATTTGAAATAAATGGATNGTCACGCCGTTCAAAATAAATCAAAATCAAAATCAAAACAGTTCAAATGATAAAGTCCAGAATCTTGAAGAGAAAGAAGGTAAATATGCAAAGACTTTCACCAAGATTCAGGTCACAGCAATGTTTCTTACGCAAGATATGCGGAGAGCCAAATTTCCCGAAATCCCCGGGAGGAGGGGTACTCCTAGAAAAATTGGGCGGGGGTGTGCGGCCCGCTTCCCAAAACCTTTACCCTATTTATGACTAAAATCTGCCATATTCCCTACCCTATTTATGACCTGACCAAAAATTCGAAACCCTATTTATGACCTGAGCCTTAAATCAAAACCCTTTTTCAGACCTGTGTTATGATTAGGTCCCTAGTTCAGACCAATGTTAAATTACCGTAAATATAATTTGTGAAGAGCTATTGTTGATTTCCTCTTCGATAGTGATGAAGAAGTGGCTTCTTCTTACAAACATACCCATATCAAGGCTAGAGTACAAAAACCATACCCCATTTATGACCAAAATGGCCAAAATCAGCTAAAATCGATACCCTGTTTATGGCCAAAACGGCTGAAAAACCATACCCTTTGGGTCCGCACATACCTATATAGCCCATATAAGGGAGTATCCCCCCCGGGCCCGAAATAAGTCACTCTTTTAACCAACATGACAGCTTTCTTGCCCGTCATGTAAATGCCGCGTCACGCAAAAGCTTAAAAATTCAAGCGTAGTCTATTACAAAACCAAGAACCCACTTCAAGTGAAAATTTGTCTGAATATTAGTTTTCAGCTGCTCTTATACATCATGAAAGTAAAATCTCAGAAGGATCAATAGTTTTGTAGTTTTAATTTTAGCGACGTCATATGAAAATCAGAATTAGGGGACTGTTGATTTATCGCTTTTAAAGATTCCCCATTTTAAAGATTCCCCGTTCCCATTCCCATTCCCATTTCCATTTCCATTCCCATTCCCATTCCCCGATTTCCCGTTCCCCGATTCCCCGTTCCCCGATTCCTCGATTTCCCGTTCCCCGATTTCCCGTTCCCCGATTTCCCGTTCCCCGATTCTCCGATTCCCCGTTCCCCGGTTCTTCGATTCTTCGATTCCCCGTTCCCCCGTTTTAAAGATAGCCAACACGATTCCAGATAACTTTGCCAGCAACGAGCAAATAGTATGCAGAACTTTGAATGATCATCTAGCATAAATTTTGCCCTTAGTAATTTTGTCAACCTTCAAGCTCAGCGAACAAGACCAAGTAACAATTGGAAGGGCGATTGCGTGACATAGAGAGAAGTAAAGTATGCTAAGATGCTGTTTTAATCTCAGTCTTCATTTTATACTTAGTTTGCAGTTTGCATTTTAAACCAAGTCAACACTCTATACCCAGTTCGCAATTTGCAGGCTGCATTTTATGAATGTAACTTAGAATTGCCCTTTTTCGAACGATGACTGGAGGACTGAATCGAGGTATCGCCCCCCACCCCCCACCCCTCCTCCCCTCCCCACCACCAGGATCGCATGCCGATAAACTTGCCCGGGTGAAATAATCACAATTCCGGCTTTACAGTACAACCTGGGTTTAATTTGTTACTTCTCTCTTGGAGGAAATCCATCTGTGTTTGCAGGCCACTCCGCTGCGGGTACAATCAGGTTATATTCAGTGCAGTGACTGCGTCAATATGTTCCAAAACTCGTTCCGGCAAAGAGCCTGCTCGCAGGGGGGCGCGCGGCGCGAGCTAAAACATGGTTCACTGGGTCAAAACGCCACAGCCATAACTAATGTTCTTTGCGGTCGATTACCTTTTATCCCCTGTTACTTAATTCCACAGTCAGGGATTGCACCTCAATGTTTACAACTTCAAACCTTACCTTTCTTCGACCTCTTTCCTTTGCTTCTTTCATCTATCATCCATTTCTTTCCCAGTCTTCTACTAATTTCAAACTCGAGCAAGGCTGGGTACTATCTTTCACTCTTCTCGTATAAACAAAACCAAATACACATCACTCTCTCAAGTCTTTTACACCAGCTTCTTCCTCACCTTTTAACCCTCTTTTAACATGGTACGTAATATGAATAATATCAAAGTATATTTGCCGTTTATTAAGGTCTTTACACAAATGGTATCACACAAAGTTTTCTTGCATACAATATCTCAGCTGCCACATACCAACGCGTCAAAACTGAGTTCATACGATAGTTTTAGCCAGCCGGCCAGAAATAACTGCATATGTTCCTAGATGTCTACTGTAGATATTTCCGAACCTGTACTTGATTTAGCCTGTACATAAGCTAAGTTAACAGTATTTGTTTTACACTGGGCATGAAGCTTTTGTATTAAGCTTGGTAGATTGTTTTGTTTTTGTTTCAAATCCCACATTTTATTTTCCTGAGTAACACACTCTTGCCTCAGGTAGTGGATTTCTTATCCAGTCTATAACCTTGTCTTTGTCATGAAAACAAAATATAAAATTCTAATTTTATTACCAAGTTGCTTCTCTTAGGCCTCATGCCCAGTTGTTCAAAGGGCGAGTAATGCAATCCAGAATATTATAAATTACTATCTGGTGGATAAATGGTAACAAAACAAACCGAGCCATCCACTGGATAGTGATTTGACTGCTGGATGATGTTATCCATAACCCAGGACAGTAGGACATAACAACGATCAATGTCATCGTCATCACCTATTGTTGTTGTTAATGAACAACCAATTGATTAATAAACTACAAACTCAAGTTTCCTCTGAGTGAAAAGGCAACTAGTTGCTGCTAAAATGAGTATCAATGAGAATTCACGAGTGCTATTGATGGCTAATTGCCACGATTATGCAAGCGAACTAAACAGCTATGAACTAGCTGTGTGAATATAATTTCACTGGTAAGTAGTAAATCTGATCAGGGTGTGAGCAATGTGATATTGCTCATGGGGTAATTTAGAAAATTACAAATTACTCTAAATTACTCCTGACCTGAGTAAAGAGACTGAACTGGCTTAATAAGTGCTTTGTCCTGTGAAAAAATTCTGTGCCCTCATTTTTTAATTTTGAAAAGTATCACTGCATCTTATAAAAGTAACGTTATTTACATCCTATTAAGTCAAACTTTAATTTTTTTTTCAGGCGGAGCGATTTACAGAAAGTCAGATTGATGGTACGATATAACATTGATTGCACTGATGAATTAATAATTATCATGTAGCATGAATAGATACTGAATTTCGTCAAATTATATATTAATAATTGTACTACACATTCATTTTCCATAACCATTGTTTTCAGTAATTCTGTTGCTGTTTTGTCTAGGGTTCAAAGAGTGCTTCTGTTTATTTGATGGTGATAGTGATGGTATGGTTACAGAGAGTGAATTGGCCCTGATTATGAGATCCTTAGGAGAAAATGTAACACATAATGAAATCAGAGCATTTATGAAGAAAGCAGGTACGTTTTCAGGCTTCTCAGCAGGTTTGAATTCCCTGTGAATCAAAACTAGACAGCTAAATATTACTGTAACAGTGCAATGACTTCAACCAAGAGTTTGTTTGTTATCTCATATACATGTCGTGCAGCTGTCTGATTGTCAGTCGATGTAACAATTGATTTTGATTGGCTGCTAAAAAATTTCAAATTTTGTTGACTTCCACAGCACCCACAACAAACGAGCTTTATTTGAAACCTGAGCGTGTAGAAAACAATTCTTGACAGTCCAGCAACAAAGAGAGTGATCATTGAAATCTAACAAATACTCCGTAGTTTGAAAAAAAACCTATTCAGTGACAAAAACAACTTCAAGCAGTAAAATAGTTGTAAACTCTGTCTCTTTGTACTTGGTAACAAAAATGATCTTTTTCTGTCTAGTGACTTATGATAATTAATAATGATTGCAAACACCAAGTGGGAATCACAACCTTAGCTAAAGCAAGCTGCAAAAGTAATGTTAGACATTATTATGACATCAACAATAGGACAACTGTGAATCAACACCATTACAAATTTGAAATAAATTTCAGCCTTGTGATAATAAAAAACAATTAAGGTCATTCCTCACATTTGCATTGCGCATCCTTACTGCACATAATTTATGGCGTCATTAGCGCGCGCTCGTGTACGCGCATATTGGAAACATGACGGATTTGCCTTGATATTGAGCTCTGTCAGTTGAAAAATGGCTCTAGCTCGCTAACGAGCGTGGGCATCCCAATTTTTTTTCCAGTCATTGTAATCAACTAATCATAAGCTTTGCGTGAGAAAAGACTGATCTAATTTCTATTGCTGAAAATTGAATAAATAAGAAAAATAGCAGATACACTGTGGTCTTTTCTATTTTGCAGTCGGTAACCACGTCAAGAAATTTGGTTCAA